TATTTTCCCTTTAAGATCCGGGAATTGAATGATTAAAAATCTATAATCAGAAGAGTTGGGGTGGGAGGGAACAAATAAAAAACAAAAAAAAAGATTTCTCCATTCTCCGGGTCCCCGGGAACCTCGGTTTTTCTTTTGAGTAAATCCTTAAAAATAGCTGGGTTTTTTCCCCCCCCCCCCCCCAAAACCAAGGCCCTGGCCCCCCCCCCCCCCCCCCCCCCCCCCGGCAGCCCCCTCTCCCAGGCCTGCCCTTTACCTGCCTGGCTTGTCCCTGCAGTCCTGCAGGCGTGCGCGGACCTCATCGTATGTGAGGAAGGCCATGTAGCCTGGGTGGTCGACCGCCAGGAGCTGCCAGTTCCTGAGGAGTGTTGGCCATGGCTGGAGAGGGTGGCGCTGGGTCAGGGAGGGGCCGAGGGAGCAGCCCCCTCTCCTGGTGCTTCCTAGGGTCCAAGCACCCAGCCACCTTGCTCACACCACAGTGGGCCTCAGGAATCTGTCTTTTCCACAAAAGACTCCAGCCCCTTCTTCCCCGGGACCCAGGAGTCAAGGACCCCGCCCCCTCCTCCCATAGGACGGGAGTCTGGGCCCCAGGCTTGGCCTTCCCCCACCTGGAAGAGCCGGGTGAAGATGTCAAATTCGAAGATGGACACATGGCCACTGCAGGTGAGGTCGATGGTGGAGCGCAAGGCGAGGGCTGTGCAGCCTGACTCCACGGGGTGGCAGGTGCACAGGAGAGACTGAAACTCAGCCCAGGGCAGCACACACCTGCGCAGAGGGGCACCGGGGGCGCAAGTGAGGCCTCTGGGAGCCTAGGATAGACATCTAGGAAAGAGGCAGCTGGGCTGGACCCCTGGGCCTGAGGGAGGAGGGGCTGGGGGCCTGGACCCCTGGGTCTGAGGGAGGAGGGGCTGGGGCTGGACCCCTGGTTCTGAGGGAGGAGGGGCTGGGGGCCTGGACCCCTGGTTCTGAGGGAGGAGGGGCCGGGGGCCTGAACCCCTGGGTCTGAGGGAGGAGGGGCTGGGGCTGGACCCCTGGGTCTGAGGGAGGATGGGGCCCCAGGGCCCCTGGGACCGTGCTCACTCACCGGGCTCCGCAATGTTCTCTCCAGAAGGCGTGGGCTTCGGTCTTGGTGAGCTGGTATGTGTGTCCACAGTACTTTCCCCCGGGGAAGAGCGCGCTCAGCTCCGAGTACATGTAGCTGAAGATAAGGGCCAGCTTGGCCAGCTGTCGCCTGTGGGGATGGGCTCTGAGCACCGGCTGAACCCTGGGGCTCCCACGGACACCTCCACCCCCTGCAGAGAACACCCACAGGCCCCAGCCTCGGAGGCAGCGGGGAGGGTGAAGTCGGTTCCAACACTGTCTGCTGTGGCCCTGACGCCCCCTCCCAGAGCCTCAGCAGGAAAGGCGTGCGGCCGGCCCGGTGTCCTCAGCCTCCACGCGCAGAGCCGGGGACAGAGGAGAAGCCTCCCTCGTTGCTCCCGGGGACACTAGGGCCGAGGGCATCGTGTGGTCTGCCAGCAGGTCTTGCTTGGGGCCTTCCTCCAGGTTTGAGCAGCACTGGGGGCGGCCCTGCTTCCTCCTGCGGCCGCTTCCCCGAGGAACGGATCAGCATGTGGGCAGCAGCAGAGGGAGTCTGACACCTAGCTCCGTGACTTTTGACAAATCCCTTTTTAAAACATATACCGGTATATATACATCATCGATGGCCCTCGCTGGTTTGGCTCAGTGGATAGAGTGTGGGCCTGCGGACTGAAGGATCCCGGGTTCGATTCTGGTCAAGGGCACATGCCCGGGTTGTGGGCTCCATCCCCAATAGGGGGAGTGCAGGAGGCAGCTGATCAATGATTCTCTCTCATCATTGATGTTTCTATCTCTCTCTCCCTCTCCCTCTCCCTCTCTGAAATCAATAAAGATAAAAATAAAAAATATAAAGAAACATCAATGGTGAGAGAGAATCATTGATCAGCCGCCTCCTGCACATCCCACACTGGGGATTGAACCCACAACCCGGGCATGTGCCCTGACCAGGAATCAAACCGTGACCTCCTGGTTCATAGACCTCCTGGTTCATAGATCAACGCTCAACCACTGAGCCACATGGGCTGGGCTTGCAAGTTCCTTTATTTCCCCCCTAAGCCTCAGTTTCCCCAACTTTGAAATGGGCATAAGTACAGCCCCTCCCTCACAGCGGGAGTGATGAGGATTCTTACAAGCACATAAAATGCCTAGCACACCCAGCACACATTCGGCAGTCAGAGCACATTAATTTTGTGTTAATTCTCAGCTGAAGATATTTTTTTTCCTATTGAATTTTAGAGAGCTTGGAAGGGGAGGAGGGGGGAGAGAGAAACATTGGTGTGCGAGAGACACATTGATGGGTTGTCTCCCACCATCACCCTGACTGACCGGGGCTGGGTATTGGACCTGCAACCCTGGACTGGGACTCGAACTCGTGACCCTTCAGTGCTCAGACCAAAGCTCTAACCACTGAGAAACACCAGGGCTTTATACTGAATTTTACAGAAATTCAACTCTCCCATATATCCAGGGAAGACTGACTCAGCAACAGTGACTCTCCTCGCGTGCAAGTGTCTGGCTCATCAATCCTGCCTTGCAGAATAATTGTAATTGTGCCTTGGCATTTCCATTAGAAATGTCGGTAATTTTATTATAAAGAACATTCTTTTTATCACTTCCTTATAATAAAATTTGGGGGCCAAGACTCCTGGTTTGAAGGAGGAGGGGCTGGAGGCCTGGAATCCTGGTCTGAAGGAGGAAGTACTGGGGGCCTGGACTCCTGGGTCTGAGGGAGGAGGGGCTGGGGGCCTGGACTGCTGGGTCTGAGGGAGGAGGGGCTGGAGGCCTGGAGTCCTGGGTCAGAGGGAGGAGGGGCTGGAGTCCTGGGTCAGAGGGAGGAGGGGCTGGGGGCCTGGGTCAGAGGGAGGAGGGGCTGGAGTCCTGGGTCAGAGGGAGGAGGGGCTGGGGGCCTGGACTCCTGGGTGTGAGGGAGGAGGGGCTGAGGGCTGGACTCCTGGGTCAGAGGGAGGAAGAGGGGGAGCACGACCTGGGCCTCCCGGGTGATCTCACCGTAATGGGACCCCCGCTCACCTGAGCATGGACCCCTCTCGGTAGAGCTCGTCGCTGGCACTCCTTTGTCCCGGGGCGGCAGGAGCGCTGTCACCGGCCTGCTCTTGGCCTCCAGGTTGGCGAGGGAGAGGAAGAGTAAGTCCTGTGTAGCACCGGGGACTCGAGAGGGCCGCCT